TAAGATACTTAATTAGACTTAATTAACTTAAGTTATTTAATTTAAATTTAATAATATAGAATTAATAAATATTTATATTATATGTGAGATATCAACAAATTTAATATTTGGTGATTATAAAAAAAAAAGTGAATTTCAAATTTAAATAATGTAATAATAACATTATAAAATTAATGTATTATTCACCTCACTATCAGCAACAAAGACTATGTTGCTGAAAATAGGTTTGTTGACTATTCACCTAAATTTTTAGCAACAAGGACTATGTTGCTGATAGTGCAGGACTATATTGCTGATAATGCACTATCAGCAACATAGTTTTTGTTGCTAAAAAGTGGGATACATGCACTCCCCTTAACTTTTAGCAATGCAAGCTATGTTGCTGAAAGTATAGCCTATGTTGCTGAAAGTATAGCCTATGTTGCTGAAAGTATAGCCTATGTTGCTGAAAGTATAGCCTATGTTGCTGAAAATGAGATTAAATTCATCCTGATCCTTTGGTTACCGGTTTACCACTTATTTTTAGCAACATAAGCCACGTTGCTGAAAACGTGGCTTATGTTGCTAGAAATTCTTTACCACTTACCGATAATTTTTGTTGGATTTCGGTGGACAATTTTACTAACATGGAGCACTTTGTTGAAATTATATTTTCAGCAATGTGCATTATGTCATTGATGTATCTGTTGTACCTATGATTTTGATGATTACAAAACACATTTGAGTGACTAATTGGTTCATTTAAGTGTGTAGTTAAAATGTCAAAAGATTGCAAAATAAATAAACTTGGACTGCACTAAAAATAGACCAAAAGGCTTAAAAATGTGTAGAGAGCTGGCCGTTAAAACTTGCAGCCGGTCGTGGAAGTGCATAGAGCTGGCTCTGGAAGTTGCAGCCGGCTCTACAAGTAAAGATTTAAAGGATTGTTGTTTGGTGCACGCTGAGCAAAGACGCAAAGCCGGCTCCAACTTTGCAGCCGGCTGTGAGGGTGCATTTAATGCACAACGGTTGATTTATTTGAAGATTACTTAATGGGTTTAAAGTTGGAATCCCAAAGCCGGCTCTAGGCTTTGCAGCCGGCTGTGGAAGAAAACAGAATGTGCAAGAATCCCGCAAAGCCGGTTGCAGAATTTTTGAGCTGGCTCTACGGAGAAAACAGAATGTAGGAAACCCGCAGAGCCGGCTGCAGAAATGGTGAGCTGGCTCTAAAATTGTAAGCCGGCTCTACTGACAATTCTGCAACTCGAATTAAGCGACCTATAGAGCATTAAATGACCCCCAACGACTAAAAACTGCTACTTTTGAGCAAGGGGCTATAAATATGGTTGGTAACAGATTTGAAGAAGTTTAGAGAGCATTGTATTGAATATCTTTACCTACCTACATGAGCTTTAACTAGAGATTTTGATATCTGAGAGATCTTTGTTTGTAATCCTCTTCTTGTGCTATTAGTGAGTGATCTTGGGGGGGTGTTGATTGCTTCAAGAGTGATTTGTAGAGAGGATGTTTGGGGTTTAAGTGTAAAGGGGTGAAATTTGAAAGAAACACCCTTCTTCTTGTAAAGGATTGAGTGGCTCCTTTAAGCCACCATTTGTTTTTGTTAGTGGAGAGTGTGGAGGAAATCCTTGGTGAGTGAAGCCAAGGTAGAGGATTAGGCTCCAAGTGGTTGGACCGAACCTCTATAAAATCATTGTGCAAGCTCTTCTTGTCCACTCTCTCTTTAATTTTTGTTTGGTGGTTGCAAAGATGTGAAAATTCTCCAACTCCAATTCACCCCCCCTCTTGGAGTGCATTGAGTCAACAATTGTTATTAGAGCAAGGGCTCCAATTTGAAGGTTTAACCACCTAGGAGTTGATCAAGGATGGCTCAATTTCAAGCTTCTCAACCACTTGAAGGTTTGTCTACCACTAAGCCTCCTTTCTTTGATGGTACTAATTATAATTATTGGAAGAATAGAATGAAGGTCTTCATGCTTGCAAATGTGCCCAAGGCATGGATTGTGACTATGAAAGGTCCATATGTGCCTATGAAAGTAGTTGGGGAAAGTGAGGTGCCAAAGGAAGAAGTTGAATGGCATGATGAAGACTTGGTGAAGATCATGATCAACAACAAAGCAATCATCATGCTTTAATGTGCTTTCAATCCAACGGAATTCCATAGAGTTTCCGGGTGTGATATGGCTAGGGAGATGTGGGACATGTTAGAGGTAACACATGAAGGAACAAGCCAAGTGAAGGAGTCAAAAATCAATAGACTCATTTACATGTATGAGCTTTTCAAGATGAAACCGGAGGAGAGCATTCAAGATATTTGTACAAGATTGAATGATATAGTCACCAATCTCAAGGCTATTGGTAAAGTCTATCCTTCTCAAGAAGTGGTGAGGAAGGTTCTTAGAAGCTTGCCCAAGAATTGGGAAGCCAAGAAGATCGCAATTGAAGAGTCTAAGGATCTCAACACTCTCAAGCTTGAAGATCTCATTGGAAAATTGATGACATATGAAATAGAAGTTCAAGTTGATTGTGGAGTTGAAGTAGTTGAGAAGAAGAAGAAGAATGTTGCTTTTAAGGCTAGCAACCAAAAGGAAGAGAGTGAAGATGATGCTCGTAATGTTGAGTCTAGCAATGAGGAGGATATCACCAAATTGGTTTCAAAGGAAGTGAAGCAATACATGAAGAAGAGCCTCAAAGGGACATCCTCTAGAAGAAACAAGGAAATTCACTATTCTAGAGGAAGAATATATAGTGATGATGATGATAGAGGAAAGCCAAGCAAGAAGCATATCAAATGCTATGAGTGCAACAAGATGGGGCATTATAGAAATGAATGCCTTTAATTGAAGAAGGGTTGAAGGAAAAACAAGAAGAGCATGAAGAAGAAAGCCTTTGCTGCCACTTGGAGTGATGATGAGGCTAGCTCAACATAAAGTGAAAGCTCCTTGGAGAATGGTGTTGCAAATCTTTGCTTCATGGCTCAAGAGGATAGCAACAATGATGAGGAGGTAAACTCTAACTTCTCTAGTTCAATTAATGAAAGTTCTTTTGAGTATTCTTATGATGATTTATGCAAAGTTCTTGATTGCTCTATAAATGATATCAAGAAACTAGGAAATAAGAATCTTGCTCTTACTAAAACCATTTCATTGCTTAAAAGTGAGATTGTATCTCTTTCAAAACAAAATGAGGTTTTAGTTAAAGAAAATGCCTCTTTAAATGGTGAAATTGCATCTTTAAAGAATGAGGAGTCTAGTAATGCTTTAAAAAAGGAAAATGAGGATGCAAAGAAGGAAAATGAGGATTTAAAGAAGGAAAATGAGGTTTTAAAGAGAAAAGCTTGTGATCTTGAGAATGTGATTTCCAAATTTACCTTGAGTAAAGGAAATTTTGATTCTATCTTAAAATCTCAGAGAAGTATTTATGATAAAGGGGGCATTGGATTTGATTATTCTAAAAAGCAAAAGACTTTCAAGAATTCTTTTGTAAGAGCAAGTCAATCCTATCATCCTAATGTTACTTGCTATTGTGGTGGTACAAATGGACACTTTGCTTACGTATGTCCTTTGAAGAGATTGATAGCTCAAAGTAAAGTGAAGCAAATTTGGGTTCCAAAAGGAACTTTAAGCACTAACCCCCATGGACCCAAGCAAATTTGGGTATCAAAAATCGAAACTTAATTTTGTTTTGTAGGTAAAGTTGATGGCAAAGTCATAAGAAGAGTGAAGTTGATCTTGATAAAGATTTATGCCTCAATAAGAATGTTGTAGTGAAAGTGTAAAGAAAATTTGTTTTTGAATGCTCCATTCAGGTGCTCAATTGTTATTATTTATCTTATTGCATTTATTCATTGAGTATAATTATAGTAACATAACTATTAATTATTTGTTTATGTGTGCTCACTCTTTGATACATATGCTTGTTGAGTATGATTTCATTTGATGTGTCTTTTCTAGGGTTGATACAACCTTGTTGATTGTTATAGATATTACTTGTATCATATTTACATACTTGACATATGTGAATGATTAGATTGATTATCTATCATATATAGTTCGTAATGAGCTCTTGATGGTATAAGTGATTTTCAATGTCATATGTGTCACTTTGAAGATGGTTGATGATTTGATTTAAATGAGTAATTTTAATAACTT